CCCAGGATTGGGGAGAGGAGAGGGAATGTGTATTGCATTCAGCCTCCAGAATATGCAGGACCTGAGGATTCGAGTAGGTTGCAGCTGTCCTCACCCACAGTATTTGCAAATAACTAATGAGATGAGAGTTCTGCAGCTGGTGGCAAGGACTGTAAATCGTGCGCCCTCTGCTCGCCTCCCCCGTTGGTTTCCTGGAGGAGAGAGACTGCGAACAAAGCCAGCAGGCTGTCTTGCTCGATGCTATTGCTCACAGGCAGCAGTAATTGAGCGTTGGGGCTGTATATTGTACACTGAAACTATCATATGTGAAGGGATGTATTTGTTCTTTTTGAGGTCTCTAAAAAGCGCATGTGCTTTATTTCAGTAAAATCATAAGTAAGTGGGATTTTACTAAAATTCAGATGACAAATATTGCTATTAGTCTTTCTGCAATTATAATAATCCAAGTGGACTTACATTTAAGTGTTGCTGAATTTACATGTTAATGTACAGTGCTTATGCTGATTCCTCAGATTGTACCTGTGAGGTAGGTAAAGTAATACCTTAGCACGTGTGGGAGCACCCTGCTAAATTTGGCTAGCTATTATTTGGGTTCTTTAAATAAACATATTGTTTCAGTTTAGAGGGAGAAGTAGAGGAAAATACTATTTTGTGGAAGTTCATAAAACATATTGATTAGCAGTGTGATTGAATGTATTTTGACTCAGATGTTTCTAGGAAGTATTTGCTCAATTCTTAAAGTATATATTTGAATGCTTAATGTGGAAGTTTATCTGAACAAACTTTCTAGATATATTAATTACAGAATGGCTGGGGCAAAAAAAAATCAATTAAAAGGTTTCTTCAGCCTATTTTAATACACAATGTAGGTAGGTACATTAAAAGAACTGTGAAAAAATTGGGGAGAAGAAAGTGTCAAATAACAACAGCTAATTTTCTGTAAGTGAAATCAGATTCCTCTGAGAGGACCTCCTAGATTTTCCAGTTCCATCTAGCTTGCAAAAAGTGCATTGTAAATATCAAAATGGTTATGAAAGCATTAATAACTAATTTGTATAGCCTTGCTCTGTGGATTTGGAATTTCAATCTAGAAGTAGACTTTGCTCATCTGTGCTATTGGAAGAATCTAGATTTGAAACCAGCATGTTACACATGATGTTCAATACTTGTGACAGCCAAAACAATGAATTCATGTAATAGCTCCTTAATTGTATATGCACTAGCACCATCTGTTGAATTCAAGTTAGATGAATTAACCATGAAAAATAGGGAAATGGAGCTGTTTCAGGAGAGCTGAAGTAAGTTGATTGGAATTCTTTTGAGTGCATTGTTTTTTCACAGGTTTGTTTGGATTTTCCTGGTGAATAAATATGGAGAATAAATATTAAATCCTCTCAGAATGATGGGAGAGGGAAATAACTTTTGCACAGTTCATAATCCATTAGTCACTAATTACCACAGGGTGCAACTGAGACCAAGAATAAAAGTGAAGAGGAATACCCAGTTGTATGATCCTCTATAACGGCAGAGTTCATATCCTTTCCAGAAGAAAACCCCACAGAACAGGCAAGACCAAACTGTTCACTGCTTGGAGTGATAGCTCTGTCTTGGTTTCTTTGCATCCTTCCATGAAGAGTCTGTTACTGGCCACTAAGAGAGGATATTAGATTAGAGTGGTCTCCTGTATAACTCCAGCTGACAATTCCTGCTCCATAACATTACAGTGTTTGGGTTTATTTTACATGTGCTTATGTTCATGCCTTTGTCTACGTGAACTTTGTAACTCGGTCATCTAGGGAAACCAGTTCTCCAAAACACTGCTGCTGCAGCGGAGATGTAGTTAGATGATTTCAAATGCCTCAGAAGAAACATCGATATTTCAGTTTTAATATTCAGAGAGCCTTTTTTTTTTTAATTTACGTCTATCTTTCTGCTGCTAGTATTTAATTTTGAATACAGGGGGATGCAGTAGAAAGGTGAAGATTTAGTTTTAATTCATCTTAGAAGCAGTTTACAAATGTGATTCCTTGTGACAACTCTCTGATGCAGGGGGGGATACCAGTAGCTACTTTTCTGATAGTATTTCTTTCACTCCATGTTCTGCAAATTTTGTCCTTGTTGAAATTTGTTTGTAAAAATGAGACCTTAAACTCTGCTAAACTTTTTTGGGCTTTTCTGTAGCACCCACCAAGCATTTGCTTGGCTTTAAAATAACTTAAACTTCTGCAGTTCTCCTTGGCTGCATGGGTGTAACGGTATTCTTAGGTTGATGTTTTTCATACATTGTATAAACCTTACATGTTCTCAGTTACTGAGGTCAGAGGTTTTAACCCTTTTCTAATTTCCAAAGTATCATCTTGATATAATAATAATTTTCATACCCCTCATCAGTAAAATTAAGTAAACTCATACGTTGGAAGCATTTGTCATCCTTCAACTCTATTGATACTTGCTTTTTTCCCCACTGTATATGACTTGTTAACCAGTGATGTCTGTTGTAAAGCAGTGCCACTCAGACTGCTGCCTTGTGCCCTCTCTGTGCTTAGCCTGGTGACGTGTCTCACAGATTGAGATTATGCAGTTTCTAATTTTGCAAGTTAGTTCATTTACACCACCTTCCCCTTCTGTTCTGTGTTCTCGGGAGTGGATATATGTTGCACCTTGGATAATGTTAGCACACTAGTTTCTGTATTATTGCTTTCTCTTCCAGTCTTCAAGTTTACAAAAGCGATAGGATAGCGTTTGTCGTATGGTGCACAGCACGAGAAAACTCTGACCTAGAAGGCAGCGCTCGTGTGCTGTGTAGTACAAACAGATAATGAGACACCACTGGTGGCACAGAGTGAATGAGCGGGTGTGACGGAGTGTTCAACACAAACCGAAGTCAGGCTAACTGCACCCATCCTGTCCAGACCACTCAGGAGAATCAATTTGGTAGTCTTGAACAGAAGCTTAATACAGTGCAGATACTGAAATCTGGGTTGGTTTGGGTTTTTCTGACTCTTGGGGTTGTGTTTTTTTTTATATTATAGGACTACAAAGCTGATGAAGACCCTGCGTTATTCCAGTCGGTTAAGACGAAGAGAGGACCTTTGGGGCCAAATTGGAAGGTACTAAGAACTGATGTTACAACCTTAGCAAGTTTTTATCAGCAGAAAAAAGTAGTTCACAGTTCTGTAGATACTAGCACTGTCAGTCAGGCAGAAATTCAATGCTACTTTTTTGTATTGAGTTCAAATTCTAAATGTGTTAGTAAGCAAAGTTTAATATCACTACTAAAACCAAACAAAACTATGCAAATTAAATTGGGAGAACATTATCCTTACTCAAGATTTACCTCTGAATATGCACTATGATGAGTTCCATGGAAGTCATAAGCCTGCTGTTGTAGCCACTGGAGGTGACTTAAAATGCAAAAAATTAGTTGGAAACTTCCTTATATTTAAATGGTTATAACTGTGTTTCTTAGAGCAGTGTAAAAGATAGTACATGTCTATGTTTTATTTAGAATTACAAAAAAAACTAGCAGAAGAAAGTGGCAACTAAACCTAAGCCTGTCTTCACCTTGCCATATTGAGTATCTAGGTATTTTTCACTTGTTTGGAGTGTATACAAAATGCATGTGAAAACCTCCGGTATTTAACGATAAATATTTTCCCTCAATGAGATAATACACCCTGTTTGCATGTGTGTGTGTGCGTGCATGCATAGATACATCTGCTGTGTTCTTGAAATTTTCAATCTGGCGTATGTAATCTGAGTTGGTCTGGGGAATCAATATTCCACGTTTGGTCATTTACCAGTTTTCTAATATGTACAGTTGTTGTGTAACCATGGGAAGATGACTTGACCGAAGCTTTATTTCAAGGTAAAGTCATCTGGCCTTTTACCAGGGCTGCAGTTGCCCAAGCCTGTATACTGGGAATTTTCTTTGAAGTTCATTACGCAGACTGCTTGCTTAACATCATCTCCTCCTCCACCCTTAAGTCTGACTAAAATTTAGTGTGCTGGGTTTCCATGATGTCCTTACTGGACATGGATAAGTCTGTTTTAATGTGAGATGCTACATTCCGTGAAAGCTCTTCAGTACTAGTGTTACCTTTCTGCTTGAACACATTATTGAGTTATTCTCATGTGGCTGTCAATATGACTGCAGTGTGAAAGCTTAGCACTTGGTCGCATCCAGTATGAATTTGCTCAACTTACATACTGAACTGCAGGGAAGTCATGCTTGAGAACTGACTCCTTAGTAGGCAGCATAAGTACTGGTGCAGAATATGTCAGTGTCAGAATATGTATGTGTCACCCATATGTACCTTTTGCAATGCCTGTATGCTTAACAATTTAGCCTAAACAGTTGCTGCATACATAAAGATGATCCTTTCTTGAAATAACTTTTCTTAGAATCGGTTGCCTGAGGTCCTCTTCCATTTCCTCCAGAACATTGCTCATCTCAAATTCAGAAACAAAATTCCTGTGGATAAGCATATGCCACATGGAACCCAATAACACCTGATCCCTGCCCCAGTCACAAAGCACGTCCTTCCACAGACAGCCGTCAAAATTCATGCGTATATGCCCATCTCAGAAGGAAATATACTTTGTCTGCTACACCAGATATCCTCACAGAAACTGCTGTATGCTAGAATGAATACACAGGCAATCTGTCAGGAGTAGGCCCCTAGTTACCAGTTAGAATATAGTCTTTCACTTTTGTCATTACCATAAATGAAATATTTCATTGACAGTAGCATAATTTTACTTCCTATGTGATGAATTATGCTTAAGTAAATGCTGAGGGTTTTTAAAATGTATTGCAAATGATGCTCCAGGTAAAGTTTAAATTTTCTTGTAAAAGCATTCAGTCTTTCATTACCCAAAAAAGTTCTAAATACAGCATGAATGTTTCTGCTCAAATACAGTGTGACGGACTTGCTCTGAGGTGTGAATTTGCTTCTAGTTCATTAGTTATTTTACTACTAGTTTTTGCAAAGCAGCAAGATAAGCATCAGATATTAGAGTAGGACGCACTGGACCAGCAAGCTTTTGGTCTTGAATTCCCTGGCCTAAAACATGGTTGTGCAAGCAGAAAGTAGGCAGAAGATACACCACCCTTCTGCTATCAGAAGCTTGACCGGTGTCTTACGTGCCAAATAACTGACCACCACATCTGACAGAGCAGCATCCTCGTTTCCCACTGTGTAGTACCACACTCATTCTCAGGTGGCCTGAGATCATAAATCAAAGCAGCCTGAATTCGAGGACTTAAGGTGTTCTCCTGTCCCACCATGGAATGAGACTGTAGTTTCAGGGGCATGTTTGTGCAGCGCTGACCGTTCACCCCTCTAATTCCATACGTGCTGGTACAGTGGTTTTAATGCTGTGTGGCAATTAACCTAGGGGGAAAAAATAGGGAACCAGGTTTTTGTGAAAGGATGGGAAACAACATGGCAACACAGGCAGCTGTAACTGCACTGTTGAATGTCTCAGTAGAGCTTTAGCGGGCTCCTGAAGCTGACTCTTCACTGCCATTACACTGCATTACCAGAAGAAAAGCTTGCGTAGCTGCCTCTTGGGTGCTCACGTACTTCAGTTTGTCTTAATGAGAGCTGAGGGTGCAGTCACTGTATACCACTGACCTAATTGGTGCTGCCGTAGCTGTTCCTAATGTCATCATTTCAACATGATGAAGGTTCATCCTGTGACAGTCCAATTGCATAGATGCAAAAATAATGTGAAGTTCCATCTGAACACCAGAAAACTGGGAGCGTGGTCAAACACTGGAACAGGTTGCCCAGAGAGGTTGTGGGGTCTCCACCCATGGAGATACTCAAAACCTGAGTGGACGCAGTCCTGGCAGCCTGCTGTAGGTGACCCTTCTTGAGCAGGGCTCCTGCACCTGGGCATCAGAGAGGGTCCCTTCCAACCTCAGCAATGCTGTGATTTTGCAATCTACACATACCAACATAGTCTTAATTCTTCCCCTTGGATGTCCAAAGATGGAATAGTTCTGCTTCAGAAAGTTTCTGAGCTTATAAGTAGCTGGAGATTGCTAGAATTTCAAAGTGAATTATCAATATTTTCTTCCTTGGGTTTTATATTTTTACATAGGTTTCTGCCACTTGCTGCTGTCAAAATACTGAGCCAGGTAGACCTTTGGTCTGACTTGCGGGTTTGTCCTGGTCCCGAGCATTAGCTGGAATCTCATGGGAAACGAGTATATTGTGGGTTTTGAGATGATGATGAGGGGAGGCATGTATTCAAACCCCTGTTATTGTAATACTCTTTCTACCTGGGCTAAGTATTCTTGCTAGCAGGGTAAAATTGTTGCAGGGATTAGTTTTTGTGAACCGGGCTGAAAATGTGCATCCTGCCTTAGATGTTTGTTGTCCTTCCTCTTAAGGAAGGAAGCAGGAGGCTGATGCAGGAATGGCCTCTTTGGACTTATGCGACCCAAAGAAAGTGGGGAGTTAGTGGTCTGTTTTTTTAAAAACAGCTGTAAAATGAGGAGGAGAACTTTGAATGCTTAGAACTGGCAGCACTGAATTTGTATGTTCCATTTAGTTCTGTCCTTTTACTAATGCCTGGACATAGATTCGTGCTGTTTGGGAGCACCAAACAACAACAGCACTTTGTTTTTTGCTCATGAATAGAACATCAGTCTGGTGAGGATAATTGGTTTTCATTTAAGTGCTCTCTGGTGATGAGTATTTGTGATAAAAATTCTGTGTTAAATAAATATGCATTATTCACCAAGAGTTTTATTTGTTAGGTATATCTTGCGGTAAATCTTTTACTGTCTGCATGACCAACAGGAGTTGTCCGTTTCATGGTTGAAAGAAATCTGGCTTAAAATATTTCTACTTAGAAGTTTGTTGCAGATACAAAGAATAAAAATCTGTGGACTTCTTTAGCAATTGCTTGTTATTCAACCCAAACACACAGATTTCAGGGGTTTTTTTTAAGTGACTATCAGCTTCCTTTTTTGGTTTGGATTTGTTTTGGGTTTTTTCTTCCTTATTTCTTCTTCCTCTTTTACAAGGCTTGGAGTAACCTAACATGCGTTGTCAAACTGAAAACATGATATTGTTGTACTCTTGTATTACGTAAATTTGACCACGTGAATTGTAGGAAAATCACTGCGTATGATGTTATAGGTACTTCAAAATTGTTTGGATGTCGGAACTATGACAGAAACCTAGGAATTCTAGGAAATGGTGGTGGGTGTCTCCTGCATTTCCCTCAGTTCATTCTTCTGGGGATGCTTCTTTTGCACAAGGTCCTTGAGCTGGAGCTGCTTCCAAGTAGGCTTTGAAGAGGACCTTGAGTTGGTCTTACGGCTGCCTCTTGCCACTGATGATAAAGAAGTTCTCTCCCTATTTTTCTCGTAGTAGCAGTCAGAAGGTCTGGAATTCATTATGCAAAAATGACTATGTATGTTATGTCCCACCACTAGAAATTACACTTGGGTAAAGACATACCCTTCTGGCATTGTCTGCTGGGGTGGGACGGGGGGGCATGCCAGCATCTGTGTGGGCAGAGCAGAGGTGCAGCAAGCTGAAGTTTTCTGCTTTTGTGAGGAGCAGACTTGAGGGGTGGTTACATGCTTTTTGTTATCTGAATCTTTCCTAGTGTGCGTGTTTTCCACCGTTGTACTGAGCAACTCAGATTATAATTGCTTTTGCACAATAGACCCAAAAGTAAAAAACAATTTAGTGCTAGCTGTTGTAATCAAGCTTCATTGTCCTTTCAAAACATCAGAAAGTCTGTTACAGTGGAAATCATGAAAATGAAATCCCTGTTAAGACTAAGATTTGTAGTATATGTTTGCAGCATGGGTGGAATTGTCTCACATATTTAACTTGATTGTTTGTTAATCCCTTTTACTCTATGTTCAGAGTATTTACTAATACTTATATTTAGAATTATAATTTATAATTATAATAAAATGTTTTAATTTACTTAATTTACTACAATTTATAATTCTAATATACATAAAATTATACTTTCTAATAATTAATTTGACTGAAGAAATTTTTCTTTTTTATTCCTTCCCATTATCCATAAACAGAAAGAGCTAGCAACTGATGAAGAGTGTCCTAAAATGTGTGCTTACAAGTTGGTGACTATCAAATTTAAATGGTGGGGACTGCAGAACAAAGTTGAAAACTTTATACAAAAGGTAAGTGCTTCTCCCTTGCTGGGGTGTTGCTGGGGAGGTGGGGTCGGAGGTAGGCAGGGTGCTTCTGTGTTGATGGGTTTTTTGATGAGAAACAGCGATGAAGTTCCCTGTTGCTTACTGTCAAGCAGTTTGTTTGTTTCTTCAGCAAATACAACCATTTGTGTCTTGATCTACTAGCAATGGTGTTTTATTGGTGGTACTAGAATAACTTTCTAAGTTCAAAAAGCAAAAGTATATGCAGAGTCTGTGTCACGTAGGTTTAACACTTGATTTTGTAAGCAACAACACGTGCCAGGAAGAGAGCTCTTTCATTCTTTCTTTTTTTTTCCTCTCATCAGTTGAAAGTTGCATAAAACGTGCTGGTGTTTCTCTAGTATTTTATGTTCTACTTTTCTTATGAAACTATTCTTGTGTTTCTGCTAATTCTAAAGTATTTGATTTTTTTTTTAATTGAATGCCTGCAAAACCAGGTATGACGCAGGTAGAATCCAGTGCGCTAGGATTTTGTTGGCAGTTGTGCTGTTTTGTCAAATTATGTTTGTGTCTTATTTCATTACTGCTGTATCATTAGAATATGAATTGTAAAATATTTTTTAAAGTATGACTAAATATTTTGAATGTAAACTTATGTGTAGGCAAAGTGTTTAATCTAGACCATCATGCTAGTTTTCTGTAATCCAGAGAGAATGTGCTGTAACAGCGAGTTAACCAAAACACGATATTCCAGTAGCAATTGGCCGTGGTGTTTCCTCACAGCCAGCCAACACCAGACCTTTTTCATTGTGGTAACCAGGGCTCTTAGCTCTGCAGGGACCACACAGCTAACTGCATTAAATGCTTATGAATTTCAATAAATACAACAGCAAAAGAGAAAAGCTTCAAACAATAGTAATTGGAGAGGTAGTTTGTGATGGCCACAGTACAAAGTAAGGGTAAGGAGACATTGGAGACTGTCCTTAGCGTGGTGAGGGTTTTGGGAAGGAGTTGCCCATCACATATTTCAAACTGAACGCTGTTAGGGAATAAGCTGAGCAGTGGAGCCAAGACTGATTCTGTGGTATCTGAGGAGTATTTGAAGATAGGACTTTTTTTTTTTTTTTTTTGCCTTGCTTTACGTGAAGTTGATTCTTTAGAGGAAGTTATCTCTGTCTGCTAGTTGTCAAGAACCAACTGTTAGATTTGATCAGCATTGTTGTTGAGGACAGTCAGCAGCTCGAGTGATGCAAAATCTGGGACCACATGAAGAAGACATGAACTTTAGGTGACAGCCTGGGTAACTGAATATGTGTAGAAGTCTGAATTACAGTAGTTAAATAGATTTCTGTGTTATATATACATGACTACTTTTATCTGAGCAATCGGAAGCAATACTGTTAATTTTGCAAATTGAATGGTTTATATGATGCTTCTTTCATCATCCAAGTCACGTACTTTAATGAAAGGGCTGTGAAATCCTTAGCTTGAATATACAAAAACTCTCAAGGTTTTTGTACCTTTTGAAATCACACATCAGATATTACTGGGATGCTGATTTGGTACAAATTGCAAATGTGCCATCTTTGGAGTCAGAAGTACTTCCCTTTTTGCTTCATTCTGGCATCAGGAATTGGCTGTTCTTGTTTTTTAATAGTAAGCCAGAACCTGTGACAGTTCTGTCATAGATTTTTATACAGTTCTTGCTAAACATTCTAGCTGTTGTGATGCTACATTTATTCTGTCTAGTGCTATCTTGGAGCTAGAACAGATTTTAAAATGATTCTTTGGCATTTTCAAGTAATGTAAATCGCTGAACTTTCTTGAAACTTTTTTTTGATGGAAAAAAATTAACAAATTTCACTATGTTAAAGCATGTGAGAAATGAGATGACTTTAAATTGGATTGAGGAATGTGAGGGGGCTGAACCTGTAGCAATGTGAAGCAGCATGCATCTAAAGGTTGGAACTTTTCAAATTGAACAGCTGCAATCCCTTCACCAGTCTTTGGCAAAATGTAGACCTATTATCTAATGTTTGTTTATCTTCTTAAAGCAAGAAAAAAGGATATTTACCAACTTTCATCGCCAGTTGTTCTGTTGGATTGACAAATGGATTGATCTGACTATGGAAGACATTAGGAGAATGGAGGATGAAACCCAAAAGGAGCTAGAAGCGGTAAGAATGCTTTTTTTTCCAAGATTGATGTTTGTGTGTTATCTGCCTGTAGATTTATCTGTTTGGGAACTGACGTGAGTTACGTTGTGTCCATCCCCTTGTGTGTGTTTGGGCAATTGCTGATGAACATTCCAGCCCTGTTAGTGATTCTCCTGTGCAGACCCATGCACTTCAAGCTTCTGCATGCTGTGTTGTGTCAAGCTGGAAGTGGCTGTAAGGTAAATATTTCTGATGTCACTAAATCCAGAATGTCTGCCCTGACCACCTCTTTATTTGTTGTACCATACCCATCACACAAAGTCCCATTCAGTGCCCTTTTACCGCTTCTCAGTTAGAATTCAGAGCTGTCATCTTGCTTTTCCATCACGTCTCTTGCTTTGTTTCATTTCTAATCATCATTAGATCTGATTGCTTTTTCTCTTCAAACATGTCTTCAAGCAAGCTTGAATATGTCACATGACAGCTGTTCCACTCATTCTGACTAGCACACCAAAACTGAGAATTTTACTTGCAAAAAGGAAGTCAGTAAAATAACGGCCTTGAGATAGTGTCAATTTTCATGCTTTAGTGGCTGTGAGGACCAAATACATATAGCTTGATCTGTCTTTGGACTGATGTCTAGAAGGAAATTCATCCATAGGGCACTTTCTCTACTCTTTCCTTTAAGAGGTAGAGGAACATCACAGACTAGGAAAGAAGCCTTCTCCTGTAGTGTCTTTCGAGAGCATGACCTTTGGCACAAGCCTTTCTCATTTTAAATCCGTCTGGTTTTTTTAAGTTCTTTGCAGTCTTTGGATTTGCAATTCTATTTCCTTCCCCTTTTGCCAGTTGTTTTATGCCCCAAACTCATTCAGCTTGTCACTTTCCTTCCATTGTCTTGGTTCTTTCAAGGCATGATGTTTCTTCAGCTATAACTTGCTTTTTGCATGGTTTAACTCATTTTGACTGCCAGGCATCTTTAAACAGATTCCCTGCTGCTTAAGAGCTACTGTTGACAGTGGTTCTGAAGTGCATTTTGTGTTTTGTGCCCAGCACATCTTTTCTTTTAGTGCCAAAACTAGCTGTAGCTCCTCCATCCCCACTTGTTGTGCTCTCCATGTTTGGACTTTATGAAGTGTGTGGAGCCATCTTGCATTGTGTAGAGATGTTTTCTGGATTTGGAAGAAGTGTTTCTTCGCTGTTCCGTGTGTTACTAGGTAGACGTCCTGAGCTAGTAAAACCAAACTTTTCTTTTCAAATAAGCTGAAGGGTTTGTCTGCTTTAGCAGCTCCCAGAGTATGCTTTGGAAAAGAATGATGTTCACTCACTCTTGCAAACATTGTGCTCTCTCTTTGGCATTTGGATATTTTTGGTTATGGCAGGTGTTCTCTCAAATCACGTGGATTCTTCTTTAATTCTACTCTTGCCAGAACCTATTCCTAGAGCCACCTATTCCTAGGTGTCTGTGAAGGAGGAAGAGTAACCACTTTCCTCTGTAACTGTTTTTTGTCAGAAGAGTTCTCTTTTGCACACCCATAGTTCTTTATTTGGAATGAAACAGACTTCATCCAATTTCTCTGAGAAAGGATAGTGGCAGTGAGAGGAATGCATACCAGGTATGAATTGGAGAGAGTAAGCAGCACTTGACACGTCTTTGTGCATGAAAAAATTTCCCTTTTGTGTGTCTGTGGACTGTGGATGTTTGTTGTCTTGTAGAGAAAGCTCTGTTTCGCATTTCTCACTGGTAAGTAACTTCTTTTAAATATTTCTTGCAAAATATTTGCTGCTTTTTAGTTCTTAAGCAAAATCCAGATCACATGTTTCTGGGTGTAACATTTATCCTCGTTCTTAAATATCTAACGTATTTATTATTTTCTTGGTTTGCAAAGCAATGCAAATAGTTTATTTCAAATAGCTTGTTGTGTAAGACGTTAGCATCAGGAGCTTAAGCGTATTACTTGTTGAAAAAGTCAGTTTTTCACAAGAGAAATGTATTGATTAGTTACACTAACAACTTTTCTATGTGTATTGTGAAATGTGAGGAGCGGGGACCTACTGTTATATTATTTTGGGTTTTCTCTACTGTTATAATAGGGGCATCTACAAACACCTGTAAATTATGCAGTTTCAAGGGTTTTGTGGTGAAGTACATTATTGGAGAGTAACCTAAAGCCAAAAATATCACTGCCAAATAAAATATGAATGCTAATTTTATCCCAAATAATTTGTTTCTGTGTTTCATATTCAACTATTTCATCCATTGTGATAAACAGTAACTTTCATTAAATCCCAAGTATACCACAAAATCCTGTTTTATGGCCAGGACCACTGGGAAGTGAGCAATTAGTGATAAGGTGCTTAATATGACAAGAATATCTTCATGTTTCCATCCCTGTAGAGAAACAGTCAGCTTTTTTGACAGTGTTGCACTATGCAGTTCTATGATGCTTAAAAACAAACTGCAGAAGGCAAGCCTAGTAATATTGGCAGCATTACATTTTCTTACAATACATTGCTTTCTGTTGCTATTCCCTTTCTCATTAACATCCTTTCTGCCTGGTTTGAGCTAATCTTTCTCTTCGGATTCTGTGCACATTTTGGTTCTTTTGTTGTTCCTGTTCTTCATCTTAAGTCGATCTTTATAGTCAGAATTTCTGCTTTTGTTAACTTTTTTGTTACTCTCTGAATCCTCATCATCAGTGTTCTTCCAGAGTTTCTCTATCCCAGCCCATCCTTTTCTCACTGTTTTCCTTTAGCTTTCACTTCGTGGTTTATGTCTCTGACTCCTGGAGGGGGGAGGAGCACCAGTGCTTCATTAAATACACATCAGCTAATCAGTGCAGAGTAGAAAAGCGTCTGACCCTGCCAAAGCACTGTGACCAACCTACCTCACATCTTTGAGGACAGAAATGCCACATGCGGTATTTCGAGCAGCATGGCTCCACGCTGAAGATGTTAAACATCTAAGAAGCAACATTTACTGCTGCTGTACAGTTCCCTGGCTTCCCCACCAAAAAGAAGCTCTGTGTAGCCCCGTCTCCAAAAAACCTCAGCTGTAGCTGAGGCTGGTTCTGGTCCTGGCCAGAACAGCAGTCCTGGTCACGTAGATCGTTACTTCTCTCTTACTAACCAACAGCGTGATAGGTTCTTTATGTGGTAGCTCACAGTTTTATTTTACGTTTAGATGCGTAAGAAGGGTTCCGTTCGAGGCACTTTGGCTGCTGACGTCTAGAGGAGTTCTCTGTAGGTTCTGAGGCAAATCAAGCTGTGTAAGTCAACTGCTGGACGCAAAAGGAGAAAAGTGATTAATGTTCTGTTGGATGGGAATTGCTGGCAGAAATGGATGTATGTCCAGATAACACTTCTGGGCCTTACCTCCCTCCTGTTTGATAACCTTGTGGTGATCGACAGTTGGAGATGACCCTTGGTGTCTGGGGAACTTAAGAGACCTTCTCCGCAGGCGGGCACTGTAACAGGCTGGGCAGGTGCTCGGTCCAGTGGCAGAATGCCTGAGGTGTTGGCCACGTAACGCGGTTCGTTGTGCTTTTCTGGTACAGAAACCCAAAGTGCATGACCTGTTGTCATCACTGTGCTGGCACTGAGCCCTGAAGCCTGCAAGTAGTCTTTTGGGCACCAATCGGAAAAGTCAATGAGCAGTGTTTTGCTACACGCTCAGTAGCAAAGTGATATGTAGCCCACATAATTTAGGGGAACTGTGGACTGTCATCTTCAAAGCATGTTAAGTCCTTGAAATCCAGTTCCACGCAGATACTTATAAACACTAAGTTGTGTTAAAACTGTTGCTGTGGGAAACAGGTTGTCCCAGAGTTGCAAGCTGTTGGGTCTTTGTGTCCAGTACCTTGGTGTTTCCCGCTGTGACTGTTGATCACTGATGTAATACTGACCCCAGCCACAGCAGCTTTACAGTCCCGCTGGTTGGTGTGAGGCTCCTCAGAGACTGGAGCTGCTGTCCACCAGCGAGGACAGCACCCACATTAAGATTCCCTAACAAGTCTTGCATTGGTATGATTTGCTCAGTCCTGGTAGCATTTCGACTGCCCCGCCCTATTTTTCTTGGAGATTAATAAAACTGCCTGTTTGCAGCTTACTGTTTGAGGAAACTACTAATGCTTAATTGCGTGTTTTCTTTCTCCACAGTTACGTAATCAAGGCCAAGTCAGAGGAACAAGTGCTGCCAATGATGAATGATGATGGATTTAACCGTCACATGCAGTGTTGATATACAAATGTGTGTGTGGATGCATGATTATTTGTATATAATTATATATACGCACATGCATACTGAAGGGGGTTGTTACAGTGTCTCCAGGGTACTATACCTGTCCTCAGCAAAGATTCAAAGGAAACTGCTTACATTATGTATACCTGAAGCAAATAAAAATCAACTGAGTAGTGTCATTTAAAGGGTGAATTAACTGCAGAATTATGCTAACTGGTATGTTTCATGAATGTCAATACTGGACCAATTTATTCCCTACTTGTTTTTTTTTTTTTTTCCTGTCTTGAGTCACTCTGCTATAACTTGCCCATATCTCGTTGTAAAGAAACAGATACCAATAAGTTAATTTCAGTTTTGTGTCTTCCCTATGTGATTATTTTGGAATAGGAACAATGAATGTATTTATAGCTATTTATTTCTGGATTGTCATTATCCTATAGTCAAATCAGAAAAAAATTTCTATTAGTGGAAATTGGAAGACTTTTACTGTTGAATAAGTTTAACCCAAACTTTACCCATTCACTGATTTAAAAGGAAAAAAAAAAAAAAGTGTTTTATTGGACTTTTGTACATTGAAATGCTAATGTTTTTTCTTCATTAAAATTGGCAAGATTAAGGAAAAATGGCTTGTGATTTATAAAATAATTGCAACCTGAAATTTTCCAGAAGCTGGCTTTTTAGACAAAGATACAACAATACTTGTAGAATATTTCAAGTATATCTTGGGCTGTGCAGTGAAAGCAAAGGGGGGTGATAGCCCTTCCCTGAAGTAATACTTCCTGTTAACGAAATCGCTATTTTCCAGAGTTTCACTTTGGAAGCTATGCAAATGGTCTTGATTTCACACACATTACGCAATGGAATATAATTGTGATTTTAGCTCTTTTCATGTTGAAAATACACTTTAAAAGAGATGTATACTTTCAGATATGATGAAAGTTTAAATTGTAGCATCTGACATATTTCTCTGAAACTTGTTAGGAGTAGACACGTAAAAGAAAAGATGGTGTAATAAAGACCTCCTGTAGATAAGTCTCAAATAGGGAAAATGTCTTCAGCATTTTTTAAGGAAATGTTCAGAGCATATCGTAGATATATATTATCAAAATGCTTGCTAGATCAGAAACAAATTATTTTAGAAATGCTAAAGTTCTATTAATGCCTGGTTTCCTCCCAGCATCCCCAGAAACCTCGGTGGGGCAAGCCTTGCTTAAGCTTCCATCTTCATAGTCTCACATACATCCAAGTACTTTGGAATCATTTTGGACCTACTTTGCTTACAAAAGGAGTGATCTGATTTCCATTACGGGCAGTGACAAAATTTTCCTCAGCTTCCAGGGTGGGTCAGGTCTGCCACACAACTTGCTGTGCCGGTGTGCCTACCTGCTGCGAGTGCCAAGCACTGGCACGTCTGCAGGGGGTGTGGCACTTGTACATCTCTCCTGCGTCACTTCACCCTCCCGCCCTCCCTGCTGCAAAATGAGTATTTTTTAATTTTTTTTCCTTTCTGGATTAGCAGTTAAATGGTCATTTGTCCTCTGATCCATCAGGAGGTTGGTTTTGTAAATATACGTAGACATGCGGACGCATACATGCACGCATATGATTTTAAAAGCGTGTGCAGCCAGGAGGGCTGCTGCACACCCGGGAGCCCAAGGGCTCAGTTCTCTCTTCAGTGCTGGAACACGAGTCCCACTGTCGTTAATGAGTCATAATGCAAACTGAGGGAAAGGGACCCTATGGCTTTCATGTTTTTTGGACTAGTTGTGACAATTTGAGAGATTCTTGTAGTGAATGTAAAATGTTTAGTTTACTTTGGCAGTCTCTGGTGTGACCTACAGTAAAACAGTTAATGAAATTCAATTAAATAAATTTGATCATAAAATGCTCTGTCTCTTGTCTTAGGTATTAGTATTTGCAGTTTGCTAATGAGCTGGCATTCAGTTTTATTGAGCTGTACGAGAAAGCAAGGCAGCTTTCACAACAATAGTGTAGCTCTTCCTCTTGGATCCCAATTTTCAGCATTTCCTGATGAAAGCTCGAGTTAAACTGGCATCTTGCTGCTTGGAATTGTCTGCAACAAGGCTCTACTCCTGTATTTTTTTTCCTCTCTTCTCAGCGCTTACTATGCATGAACTATGCCTGGTGAGGCACTGAGTTTACTGCCTGTCCCTGCTGACCAGCTATGCTCACGGTTCGCCCCTGACTGCAGAGGCTGCTGCATGGCTGGAGAACGGCGGAGGGATCCAGAGTACGGCGGGGGCAGCTGGAGCAGGAGCCGCTGTTGCCCCTGAGCGCTGGGATGTAGGGTGGATGTGTGTTACGGGATGCTGGAAGTGCTTTCCAGCGATGCTTTAGTCCGGAGAAGTACCGCAGAGACACAGCACTTCTCTACAGCAGTGGGTTTGAGGGGCAGAGGGTCTCGCACTAAGGTTCGCTCCGTGCAGGAAGCAGGCTGGCACGGCAGCGGCTGGAGGCTGGAAGAGCAGCAGCTGCAGCAAGAAAACAGTTTAGTTGTTTTTCTGCTTTCAGCAGCGAGTCTGTCAGC